TACCGGTCGTTCAAAGTGGCTATTCTTGACGTGGAGAGGACGTCTTGTAGGGACATGTGAGAAGGGGGCTTTGGACGTGACGGTTTGCAGCATCGTTGATACATCTTGGGTCAACTCTGGTCCTCCTCCACTGCCCCCTCCTCCTCCTCCTGCTGCTCCTCCTCCACCTCCTCCTGCTCCTCCTCCTCCTCCTCCTCCTCCTCCTCCTCCTCCTCCTCCTCCTCCTCCTCCTCCTCCTCCCCCCCTCCCCTCACAAATCTGTCTTCAGACCTCGCCTACGGCCTAGAAAGCTTCTTGGCGTGACAGCCAGCGGCGACAAGGATGCCGCGGCAAGCTTCCCGAGGCGGGTCAAGCCGCGGCGACAAGGATGCCTCCGGGAGGCACCACAGAGGGCGAAGGCCGCCCAAGCGCCCAGAACCCCCACCTCCGAACACCGATCCTGACCCCTCGCTCGCAACTCAAGGCGCTTGGTCTTAGCAGCTCAGGCGTAGCTGCTGGAACGCATCCCAAGGTAGGAAGACCCTCCAGGAACCAGCGAAGGCGTGGCAAACATCAATCGCAGCCTCGTGCTGGCAGCCGGCGCCCGCGGCGCCCCGGGGGCCTCGCCGCTGTCCAGAACGAGCCCCGTGGTGCGCCCCGTGCCTCTGGGGGGAGGGGGGGCCGGGGGCTGAGGAGGAGGAGGCGGAGGAGGAGCTGAGGAGGAGGAGGAGGAGGAGACTGAGGAGGAGGAGGAGGAGGAGGAAGAGGAGGAGAAGGCTGAGGAGGAGGAGGAGACTGAGGAGGAGGAGGAGGACGAGGAGGTCGAGGAGGAGAAGGAGGAAGGAAGGAGGAGGGGGAGGAGGGGGAGGAGGAGGGGGAGGAGGAGGAGGAAGAGAGGGAAAAGATGGAGGGGGCGGCGCTGGAGGCGGGTGAGCACACAGCGAGCGAGCTGGCCGGCAGCGGCGCCCTGCAGCAGCAGGCGGCACGCAGGCAGCAGGCGGCAGCACCGTGGCGGCAGCACTGCAGCGGCACGGCAGCAGCGGCACTGCGGCAGCACTGCAGCAACACAGCGGCGGCAGCGGCACCTCAAGATGACCTCCAAGAGGGCTGCAGATAGCCGAAGATGCCTCAAGATGGCCCCCAAGATGCTCCAAGCAGCCCCAAGAACGCTCAAAGACGGTCCCACGAGGCCTCCGAGACCTCCAAGGTGGCCCCAAGGAGACCAACATCCTTCCAAAACCTGAGCGGAGTTAGCCTGGCGAAGGACACAACCATATGCAGCTGTGAGTACCGCGGTCGTGGCTACCATTTCCAGCACGCGCTCGCGCGAACCGCAAGAGCCGGCAGCCAGCAGCAACATCGGCCTGTCCCCCCAGGCGGCCAACGCCACCCATTACCAGCCTGGAACATATCCATATCCCTATGCTGGAAATCTCCTCATCACGATGCCAATCTTACGGATTCCCATATTTTTCGAGGGCGCACACCGCCTTGTGGCGTGCCAATCTTAGGGATAGGGATAAGTTCGAGGCTGGTAGACCCAGGGACGGGGGGGAAATCAAAAACTCGCGGACTGGAGCACAACCTCGCTGGATGACCGTCCTGTTCTTCATTCGGACGTCCATCTCCTGTGTTTTTTTCGGTTTCGTGCGTTTTTTTTTCGCCAAGTGATCAAGGATGCTCCTCGATGGCCCTCGCCGAAGGACAAATGCACACGTCCGAGCGGTGCCAAGGGAGCACAACCTCGCTGGATGACCGCCCTGTCCTTCTCGCGCTGGCTGCGGGGGCGCTGGCAGCGCCTGGAGCGTCAGGGGCCGTGGAGTTCCACGGGACGGGCAAGGGTGCGACACAGCAGAGCGAAAGGAGAGCGAGAGGCACAGTCGAGGCGTTGAGTGTCGCAGGCCCAAAAGGCAGAACAAAACCGTGGCGCTCAGCAAAGCGCGGGCCAACGTGCCCTGGCTAACGGCCAAAGTGGCCAACGGCCAAAACCAAGGGCACACGCGCAAAAAGAGGGAATCACGGACACAAGCTGGGACCTGACCTCCGGCCTCCTTTCCTCGACTAAGGAACCTTAAATAAGGACGAGGCCCCTTGATCCAAAAAGTTAAGCTTGGATTTCCCATCGAAGCCCTCAGGAACACCCAAGCCGAACTGTAAAACAATCAAGGAACACCGAGCCCCTCCCCAACGAGAAGGGTTCCTTCTTCAGCGCCCTGACTGTAGAAGCACAATGCACATGACGTGGCATGCACAAGATAGATCTGGACGCCCGACATGGGTACGGAAAGAATGGGTACAAATGCCCAACAGCAGCTCCTGCTCATTTGGAACAGGACTTGCTGTCGGTGTCGCCGCGCCCTGTGTCCTTTTGAGACAGAAGGCCGCCTGTCCAACAGCGGCCGCTGTTGGTTTGGGACAAAATTTGTTGTTGGGCATTGTACCCATTCTTTCCGTGCCCATTTCGGGTGTCCAAAATAGAAGAGAGAAAGCGGGGGGGGAATGCGTTGGGAGGGGGGGGGAT